GCAGCAGGTGTGTCCAGGGGACGCCCGGGGCTGGGCACCGGTAACTGGAGCCTCCACGGGGAAGGGAGCCCCTCCCTCCCGCGCTCCAGCACGGCGAGCTGCTTCCTGAGTGGCGTGCAGACGTGTGACTGGGCAGAGCTGCCGGTGGGCACGCTCACACGAAGGAAGAAGCGTGTTTGCAGGGGGAGGGCCAACAGCCCAGCCATGCCCGCCTGCCAGTGGGGGGTCGGCCTCCTCCCAGGGACTGCAGGGGGTCTCCCGCTGGAGGGGGCGCAGGATGTGCAGGCAGTGGCCTGAGGGAACAGGCTAAGGCTGCCCACGGGGAGGACGGGGCCACGGGAGGAAAGGAGGTTGGGAGGACGGACCCTCAGCAGGTGCCCACCCAGACACCCTGGGCACCGGGACACCGGCCTAGGCCAAGCCACAGCCGTGGAGTGGATGGGGTCAGGACCCACACTCCCCTTGGGTAAGGGAAGCACACGGACCAACAGCCACCGTGGCCACGGGCCACCTGTCACTCGGCACCCGTGGCTCATGACCGTGTGCTGCTTGGTGGTACAAGGCTGGCCCCACGGGTCCCCAGGCGGGTTCTGGAGGTGCCAGCCCCACTGCCCCACTGGCTCCCAGAGGACCAGCCCTGCACCCACGCCGGGAGGGGCCGCAGGGGACAGACATGAAGCAGAGGGAGGTGGCATGCTGTGCCCCGGCCCGAGCCCACGGGGACCACCTGCAGACCGGTGGGAGCTGCTGAGGCTCACACACATGCAGAACGTATGAACACAGGCCATGCACACGGCACAAGGGACACCACCCCTCCCCGAGGCAGGGAGCCACCTCAGGGCATCTGTACGAGAAGGGGGTAAGTGGGGGTGTCGGGGACCCCAACTGGGGCTGGAGGCTGGTTGTGTGTGCAGCTTCCGGGCTCTGCCCACATGCTCCGTGCCGGGCCGTCACGGGACCGCGTGCCCGCGCAGCCCTGTGCTCGCACCCCTGACCCTCGCGCCTTCACTGGGACACGCCCCTGCGTCCGTACCTGCTACTAGCTTTTTGATCTCAGCTGCTCATCCCGTTGGAGGCATAGAGAGAGGCAGAGAGGAGCATGAGAAGTCTCTCCTCGGAGGGAAAGGCAGAGAACCACAGCGAGGTGGGTGCTCAGGCACCAGGACGCAGGGAGACTGAACCCAGAGGCCAAGCAACGCTGGGCCGGGAAGGTCACCCCAGGGAGCCAGGCCCTGGGCCCGATGCCACACCTGCTGGCTGCCAGGCCACACGTGTGGACCCATGAGCACGCCTGCTCTGAGGGTCACGGCCGGGGTCCCGGAGAGCCACACGACAGGGAGGAAGGGGACAAGGGTCCCAGGGCAGTGGCGGTGGCAGAGAGCGCAGGGCGGGCAGCTGGCTCAGCC